CAAAGGCGCGTCACCCTAGGCTGCCGCGCCAAAGGCGCGTCACTCTGAGCTGTCGCGCCTAAGGCGCGTCACCCTGAGCTACCGCGCCTAAGGCGTGTCATCATGGGTTGCTTGTTGGTGTATTTTGTCGCTGTATACACACTATTCTCTTCTCATCCTTGAGTTGTGTTTGGATATCTATGAGCATTTTTTGACGCCTACACGGATGAGGGAGTTACATGACCTGCAACTTCAAGCTTTATCAAGACAGATTGGCGAATCCAGTCATCGTAATCTTGCAGTAGAACAAGTCAATACAATAGATAGTGATCCAAAACTGGATGAGACTATCAACATTGATATCCCTCCCGACAACAATAACGCTGGGGGTGGTCCAACCGAAGATAACAATGCTGGGGATGGTCCTGTTGTTTCTCTTAGAAACCATCCGAAGCATGATACAGATGAGGATGAAAAGATAAAGGATCTTGAGAGCAAAATCAATGCTCTGATGTCTGCTCGAGAGGTAAAGAAGACCGGTATTCCGTGTCATTACCCGAGAGAGTGGGAGTCAATCCCATATCCGGCCAAATTCAACCTGATCAACTTCATGTCGTTCGACGGGAAGGGCTCGCCCACTCAACATTTGATCTACTTCAAGTCTCACTTGGGCATGATATCCGACAATGAAGTATTAATGGTTCGGTCATTTGTTGGCACCCTTCGCGGGCCTGCCTTCGATTGGTATCGTCGTCTCAAGCCTGGAAGCATCAACAGCTAGGACGATATAAAGAGATCATTCCTCGGCAACTTCTTTGATGATGACGCCGAGGTACCCATCAGGACACTCTTCGATGAGAAGCAAAAAGATGGAGAAATAGTCACCGACTTTGTTAAACGCTTCCGGAACAAGGCGATAAATTACCGAGATCCGATCATGGAGGAATTCATCCTACAAACTTGCCACAACAACCTCTCTTTGGACGTGTTGGGAGTTATGGGATTAAATCCGTCCAAGACTTGGAAAGATTTGAAGATACGCGGCGAACAAGCCGAACGCTTCCTCAGAAGGAAGAAGATCGAAAGAAGCCAGTAGTCGATGCCTGTGGTTGCTAGTGATAATAATCAGACGTCACAACAACAACCTCAAAAGCAGCAAAGGACTCCAGATCCGAGACTACAAAAAGAGTACTCTTTCAAGCTTTCAAGAATGAGGAAATTCCGGATATTTTTGAGTACCTCCTGAATAATGGTGAGATTGAACTGCCACCTATTAAAGATCAGGAGAGAGCTAAAAGGGTTACGGACCCAAACTACTGTGCGTACCACAGGAGGGTTCTCCATCCTACTGAGGTTTGTTTCGGTCTAAAGAATAAGATTCAAGCTCTAATCGACTCTGGCACCATAAAGCTAGAATAAGCCGAATGACGGTGCACCACTCCGAAGAGTATACAAGTATAAACTGCTTTTCAATCCTTCAACCGGTATATGAGGTTAAACTGCTCCCCGGTACTCTACTAGGTATATAAGTCTAAACTGTTTCCTTTCTTTCACGGGAAGTTCCTAGAGAGTGTCATACATGGTATTCTTAAGGATAACCCGGTCATGCAACAGAGTATAATGTTAGACCCAGTTTTACGAAGAAAGCTGGAGGTGGATAATTCATGTAACAGGAAGTTCCTGAGAGAATTCTATATTGTGTATTCCTAGGGATAACCCGGTCACTCCAAGAAGGTGATGAATAAGAAACTCCCACTCAAACTCCCACTACGTTTGTGCACTCAACATTCTTATTATTACAGTCCGGACATAGTATTTAGAATTTTAATCTCCTGGTCATTGACGATTATCAAACCCCTCCGTATTAAGTATTTGTCACTTAACACCAGGAACCCCCTCTAAGCGACTTGTACAAGTCAACACTCCCACTATGATTTGTACTCCCACGTCCATTGTTTACTTGGTCAAACCTTTACACAGTTAGGACCACAACCAAAATCCCCTCTCGATTCCTTCCATGAACGAGAGGTCCACAAATTAAACGATCAAACCTTTAAACAGTTAGGGTCGTCTCAAATTCCCATCTTGGTCAAACCTTTAAACAGTTAGGACCATAACTAAAATCCCCTCTCGATTCTTTCCATGAACGAGAGGTCCACAAATTGAACGATCAAACCTTTAAACAGTTAGGGTCGTCTCAAATTCCCATCTTGGTCAAACCTTTAAACAGTTAGGACCACAACCAAAATTCCTTCTCGATTCCTTCCATGAACGAGATGTCCACTTTCTATTTGAGCAATCAAACCTATAAAAGTTAGGATTGCTTCCAACCTCACTTGGTCAAACCTGCAGATAGTTAGGACCAAAACCAGAATGCCGCTTTTCGATAAACGAAAGACTTCCACCTTTTCCTATTCGGTCAAACCTATAAAAGTTAGGGCCGAAATCGAAATTCCACCTTAATAAATGAGGAATTATTTTCTTGGATTAAGCAACCAATCCTATAAAAGTTAGGGTTGCTTGAATCTTTCTGATTTTCGGAGTGGAGATCCCACTCTTAGTTTTACCTTTCTGGATTCTGGGGGTAGAGATCCCACCTCGAGTCTCCTTTGCAACTGGAGATAGAATATAAAATTCTTCCTTTTTAGTTTTGGGAGATAGAATATAAAATTCTTCCTCTCCCACTCTGGGTTTGTCTTTACCTTTAGAAAAGATACAATTCTCAACTTTAAATCCGTACATTTCATGCACGGGGGATTTTATCTCAAACCCTAAAATAGAGATAAGTCTGCATCTAACACATGCTGCCGGTTTAGTCTTTCACCAAATGAAAAGACATCAGAATACGAGTCTGGGGAATTTTATCCTGAAGCCTAAGTAAGGATGAGTCAGCACCTAACACGCGCTGTCGGGTAGTCTATTCCCGTAAGAAAGACGAAGTCTACGTATTCAATATCGTAGCACTAAAAGAGTTAACTCTTTTAGCACAACGTTATATGTGGAACGGACTTAAACAATTCGCATGCTAGCTCGACTCAAACGGTAATCAGTAAAGGTACATCAAATTCGTTGATGGCTAAGGATTTGCCAAAAATCCTGAGTCTGCATCTGATACATGCTGTCGGGTAGTCTATTCCCGTGAGAAAGACGAAGTCTACGTATTCAATATCGTAGCACTAAAAGAGTTAACTCTTTTAGCACAATGTCACATGCGGAACGGACTTGAACAATTTGCATGCTAGCCCGACTCAAACGATAGTCGGTAAAGGCTCATCAAACCCATTGATGGCTGAGAGTTTGCCAAAAATCCTATAGTTGGTCTCGTGACTGGAGCATCCAACAACTTCGGGATAAAATCCATACATGCAGATGAATCAGCTTTCATGGTTGGTCCTGCAACTCCGACATTTGGGACCGCCCATCTCCAATGCCTTAAGAGCTTAAACTGTGTAGACTCCAGCAAATGTACGAGTATAAACTATGTTAAGAGCGATCAACCTGAAACCTTAGGTCAACGCCAATCAACGTGTTATGATTAAAAAGTCAACATCGGACGATTCAAAACCCTAGGTCAACGTCGGTCAACGCGTGACCCTAGGTTAACGCCAGTCAACACGTTGCGATTAAAAAGTCAACATCGGACGATTTGAAACCCTAGGTCAACGCCGGTCGACGCGTAACCCTAGGTCAACGCTAATCAACGTGTTGCGATTAAAAAGTCAACATCGAACGATCCGAAACCCTAGGTTAACGCCGGTCAATGTGTAACCCTAGGTCAACGCCAGTCAACGCGTTGCAATAAAAGGTCAACACCAGTTAACGCGTTACGATGAAAGTCAACATGAATCAATATATCATGATGGAGATAGTCAGTTCAAAGTCAACTCGATAATACGAGCCAAAATTAACTCACCGGTTTTGATTCAAGATTTTGACGACGGCCAGACGATAAACGCAGCGCCAGTTGAACTTTAGCTATTCGTCAAAATATCGAATAGATCGAAAATCGAAGGAGTCAAGACTCAAAGCTAATTACAGGCCCTTTTATACCGACTGAAGGTTGGACCGATCATATCCAAAGTATATCAGGCTCATCTATAAAAGAAACGAGACTGAAACACTTTGGAGGGTGTATCTGTAGGCGTCAAAAATTACCCATAGGTCCCCGCATGTGGCTCGAGACAGGGAGAAGATGATGAACATTGCTATTAGAGTTATAAAAGCTTATTTGACAATGACAAAAACATGAAATGAGTCGACGGATCATACGAAGCAACTGAACTTCGGAATAACGGAAACAAGAGCTGATCGGGAGCCCCGCATCGTTTATGAAAGGCGGATCACTCCTTGTGTCCTATTTACTCCACATATGATTTAATCATGGGAGCGCGTGGATCTCCGCGTCAACTTTCCGACACATCTTGAACCGTGTAATTCCGAGTCCGGACGACGAAAATACGATGGAAACAACCTCGACGCACCAAAAAAAAACCAAACCGAGACACCCCGGGGTGTCTTAGCTTGGCCAAGACACTTATAAGTGTCTCGGCTTGGCCGAGACACTTGTAAGTGTCTCGGTCATGCCGAGACACTCATAAGTGTCGGCAACACGAAAATGCTGATTTTAGTTGTTTTCGGTGGTTTTTTTCGATCATTAACCACCTGGATTTGCTCCAATTGATCTGATAATGTGGTTAAGTGGTTTCAACTGAATATAAGAGGGAATTGGCCGTTCTTATCCCAACACAGGGCTCCTAAAGCCTATAAATACAGCCATAGTGCCTTTATTTTTTCAGATCTGGAATTCTCGAGTGTCGGCGAAGCCTTGCCGGACCGAAGACTAAAGGTGCATGAATTTCAGAAGAGAGGAGGAGATTGATCGAGTTCTTCAACGTAGGAAAGAAGAGTTCGTCAGATCTGCAGTTCCTGTATTCGTCCCTTAAGATTATCTGTTGCGGTGATCTTAAGAAGAGCAATTATCTCGCTGTTGTCGAGATAAGCGCTTCGGCTTCTTGATTCCTTTGCGAATCGACGAAGCTTCGGATCTGATCTGATTGTCAGGTGGTCCACGGATATTGACATCCCCGTCATAGGCTAAAAACTCACGCGAGCAAGAAACGATAAACAGATTTTGTGTTATTTTCGAGAGAGTTGTAATTCTTTCACTTTTGTTACTTGAATTCTTTGTAAACGACTAAAATTATAATGAAATCAGTAATGAAGGCAACTTTCAAAGGAAACACATATATGTATATACATATACACATATACATATATGTATATACATATACATATATGTATATACATATACATATATGTATATACATATACATATATATATTGTAATTCTTTCACTTTTGTTACTTGAATTCTTTGTAAACGACTAAAATTATAATGAAATCAGTAATGAAGGCAACTTTCAAAGGAAACACATATATGTATATACATATACACATATACATATATGTATATACATATACATATATGTATATACATATACATATATGTATATACATATACATATATATATATACATATACATATATGTATATACATATACATATATATATATATATATACACAATTCGATTAAGATAAATTATAGCTAGCCATTTAAAGTGCTCAAATAACATTTATATATAGCAGTACTGAAAATTGGACAGTAGAGATTAAATTTGGAAGTGAGCTCAACTCAACCTTAACATAAGAAAGGGTTTGCTAATTAATATGATTTGATGGTGTAGGCTTGGAGTAATGGTCGTCTTCATGCTTGTCCACATAAGGTAATTGTTAGGGGCTATAAGGCACGACAATCTTGTGCCTTGTTCCTGCGTGCTAAGGGTGATCAGATTGTAGAGACCCCTCGTGAGCTCGTTGATGAAGACCACCCTCTTCGTTTCAAGCCATTTCGTTATCAAGATTTTCGCCAGTATAGTGTAGCGCATCGGTTTGCTGAGGACTCACTGGATAAGTTTGCAGGTGTCTGATTTAGTAGGTTCAATAATGCATCAACCCGCAATGAACAACTTCATTGGGAACTCATCGCTCTATTAATTTTTATTAGGAAAGCATTTATTGTTCTCTAAATGAACTGTTTGTTCCTTCAATAAAATAATATGTTGTTACTCCCATATTTACTTTGTTTATTTGTTGTTTATGCGGGGAAATGTAAGTTGTTATTGGTTGTTCTTCTTTGTTGTGTATAATTGTCTTTTCATAGATCTTATATAAGTCATGCCCTTTCTCATGGACCTTCTCATGGAGGTACCTAACGGGGCGGCGATGATAATTCTGTTTTTCTCTTCAGGGTTAAGTAGCAAAATCAACACTACAGAACCTAGCTAGGATTCTGTACCAGGACGATCCAAAGGAGATTCCAATTCAAAAATTCACGAACGAAGTGTTGAGTGCCCTACTAGCTGTTGGATACTTTAACGATCTTCACATAAATAGTTGAACTAGAAAAAATAGATTAAAGTTTCCGTTCATCGTCAAAACAATGGAAGTATTCTCCTCTCTCCTCCCATAGCCAACGATGAGAATTTGGTCTCCTTTCTGCGTACGGTTGAGAGGTGGGACTCCCACTCTTAAATAGATATTTGTGATTAACCCTACCCATCATGGTTTAATCACAACTGTGTGATTACACTCCGATTGATCCTATCCTTTAGATATTCAAGATAACCACCCAACTTGATAAACATGAAACTGTATAACCAGACCATGTAGTTAGCATCCTGATCCTAACTTGAATCGATGGCAAATTTAAATCAAATCAAAAAACGAGTAAGTTGGGCAACATGAGTTCATTGGATTAATCGAACCCAACAATCTCCCACTTTGGCACAACATAGCTCATTTTTTAATTTTCAAAAAATATATTTAAATTTTCAAAAAAACTTTTAAAATCGGGTGCACACCCATTTATTTTAGAAAACAACTTGTTGCCATGATTCTAATTAGGATAGTTTCTGAAACTTTTTCCTTAAAACAAAAGTACCACTAGCTATTGGTTTATCGTGAAAACACTATATGCTCTAATATGGCACAAGGTCACTCCACGGTCCAACCGCTAGTACTAGTAATGTTCTAAAGACATTTTCTTTATGGTGGTTTTAGTGGAGTGTAATAGAGCCGTACATTCCTTATGGTCAAATCCGATGTACGCCCTTAAGTGTCCTCTGCAACATAGACAAACGTGTATGCCGTTCTGAAACTTTTACCAGCATCCGTCATGTGAAAACCATCACCTATAGTCCAGAACAAAAACCTCAAATATGATGCCCAATCACATTCAGCTTCTGCACAAATTTAAGTGTCTCTTTACTTTAAACCAGGCCATCGCTCACACCCCCCCCCCCCTTCGAAATCGACCCCAAATCCTCCCTCTCCGCCTGACTTCATCGATTTCGCTCAGGCCATCGCTCAGGCCAACCCACCGCCTCTCCCCAAATCCTCCCTCTCCGCCTCTCCCCCTTCGATTTCGCTCAGGCCATCGCTCAGCCCCCCCTCTCCCCAAATTCTCCCTCTCCGCCTCTCCCCAGAAACCCCCCCCTTCGAAATCGACCCCAGATCTCTCCCCAAATCCGCTCGTTTCGGCCTCTCCCCCTTCGATTTAGCTCAGGCTAACCCACCGCCGCCGCTCGGACTGAGAAATCAGCGACCGCCGCCGCTCGTTTCGTCTCGTGAGGCCAACCCCGACTCCCCCTTTCGATCTCTCTTGACAGGTAAAATTTCAAATTCTCCTCTCTCGACCGCCCTCCTTTCTCTTACTGTAATGTTCTGTAAATTCTAACATTTACTGTTAAATTTAAGTAAAAATCTTATATACATATTGTATTGTGTTGTATGAATGCTTTGTTGATGTAGTCCAGACAAAGCATTTTTGCTAAGTGTTGATGTGATTAAAAATTTAACTGGGATTTGTGATCTGTGCATTGTTGATGTGATCTTTGAGTTTTATGAACTTGTGTTGTAAAAATTTAACTGGGATTTGTGATCTGTGCATTGTTGATGTGATCTTTGAGTTTTATGAACTTGTGTTGTATGAATGCTTTGTGTTCTCGGAGAGAGGAGCTCACGAGAGAGATTTGGGGTGGTTTTGCCTTGCATTATGTTTATAAAGTTTTTGAGTTTGTATAAAGTTTTGACGGGTCACATGCCAAGCGCGCGACAATTTTATTGATCCTACAGTAAAATTCATAAAGTATATGCTAATTTTGCAAATTTTATGAAGTCATGGAAGCAGTTTTGGGCTTACCAGTTACTATTATTGTCACTGGTAATTCAGTTTTTAATGTCCTTACTTCCCTTTAAACCATATGTTGCTGGGTAGGTATTTACTTTAAATGGTATACCCTGTTAATTGACGAGTTAGTCTTCTGGTTGTGCTGTAAAAGTATCGAATATCTATTGTCATTATTAATGTTTTTTTTTTTGTTCCTAAATAATTGACGAGGTCATTATTAATGTTTTTTTCTTCTTTAGGAGTTTGGAATGGAGGAAACAAATTCAAATAGTGTAGAGTTCGGAATGGGAGAATCAAGTGTTATTGGAATTGAAACTGCGGCCAATTCTGTAAATGCTCCTAAACCACTACTAGGAATGAAGTTTAATAGTCATGAAGAAGCTTATAACTATTATAACTCTTATGCATTGTTGATGGGTTTTGGAATAAGGAAGAGCAGTGTGAATTACTCTCGCAAGACTAGAGAAGTGGTAGATAGAAAGTTTGTTTGTGATAAGGAGGGCTATAAACCTAATAGTGGCAAGATAGAGATCCCTCTTCGGCGAGAGACCCGAGTGGGATGTAAGGCAATGATGCGAGTTAAATTATTGGAGGATAAATTGTGGGAGGTCACGGGGTTTGTTGAAGATCATACAAATCATGTGTTGAGTAGTCCAGACAAAGCAAAAATGCACAGATCACATCAACAATTTCATAAAACTCAAAGATGTAAAAAACTTATTGATAGTCTGCGAGAAGAAGGTATGCCTCCTTCCACTATTTCTCGCGTTATCAATGCAACCAATGGAAGAGACGGTGAACTTGTGATATCACAACAGTGCATTGATCATATCAGAACCCAAAGAGTCAACAATATTGGTCATGAATGCATATTTATCATTCGACATTTTCAGAGTATGACAGCGAATGATCCAGAATTTTATTTTGCAATAGAAGTAGACAGTTTGATCATATCAGAACCCAAAGAGTCAACAATATTGGTCATGAATGCATATCTATCATTCGACATTTTCAGAGTATGACAGCGAATGATCCAGAATTTTATTTTGCAATAGAAGTAGACAGTAGTGGACAAATGAGGAGTGTATTCTGGGCCGACGGAAGATCAAGAGCATCTTGTTTGCAATTCAGTGATGTTATTGTGTTTGATGTGACATACAGAACTAATAAGTTCGGTCTTCCATTTGCTCCATTTACTGGTGTAAATCACCATAGGCAGTCCACTTTACTTGGTTGTGCATTATTAGCCGATGAACAGGAAGATACCTTTGTTTGGTTATTTGAAGAATGGCTGAAATGCATGCACGGCATTGAACCAGGTGCTATTATAACAGATCAGGATAGAGCAATGTGTAATGCTATTCACTCAGTGTTTCCAACGACAAGACATCGTTATTGCTATTGGCACATGCAAAAGCATATTATTGATCATTTGCCTACTTTGGTATCTCGTTATGGTGAACAGTTTCAAAGGTATTGGGGCTTGTGGTGCAATAGTTCTTCAATTGAACAATGTGAAGGATATTGGGTTGAGATGAAAGAGAAGTTTGATATAAATGAAGAAGGGGAGGGATGGTTGCAAACAGTTTACAAATGCAGAGAACACTGGGTGCCGTGTTATCTGAAGGACACTTTTTTTGCTGGAATGAGATCGAGCCAAAGGAGTGAAAGTATTAATGCATTTTTTGATGGGTATGTTAACTCACAGACTCAATTACACGAGTTTGTGACACAATATGAAAAAGCAGTAACTCATCGCTTAAGTGAAGCCCATGAAGATTTTAAAAGTCTGAACACAAAGCCGGTCATGCTCCTTGGACATCCAATTGAGGTCCAAGCTGGAGAAATGTATACACGCAATATGTTTGATGTGTTCCATACTGAATTCAAAGGATTTGGTACAGAGTTCTGTGAAGAATTGAGAAAAGATGGGGACATTGTTGAATACAAGGTCTGTAAGTTTACAGATAGAGGAAAATAGGAGGTGGTTACTTATGAACAATCCAGTCAGATCCAGTTCTGTTGCACTTGTGCTTTGTTTGAAACTAATGGTGTTGTATGTAGACATATATTATCGCTAATGATGGCTAGGCAAATGGATTCATTACCCGACCACTACATCCTACACCGTTGGACCATACATGCAAGGCATCGTAACATTGGGGTTGGCAATATTGTATTTGGAAGAAACATCACCAGCTGTGAAGAGAAGATTAATTTATTGAAATCTTGGGCTTTAAGAGCAAAATTCAATAATGTGCTCGAGCTTGCATTTGATTCAGAAGAGAAGCTGCAACAACTTGATGATGTGCTAACAAATTTCATGGAATCACTTGAAGAAGAAGTTGGAGAAACTCAAGATCAAATTATGGATATTCCTCAACCTTCCGCACCCATTTCACATACAATAGAGAACATTCCTCAGATAACAGTTCGTGATCCTGATAGACCTGCAAGGACTAAAGGTCGTCCACACAATGCTACTAGAATCCAGTCAGGTTTAGAACAGGCACAAGAAAAGAAAGAAAGGAAGAAACACATATGTAGCAGATGTGGTGAACTCGGGCATTATAGAACTAGTTGTAAAGTTAACTTGCAAAGGTACCATTTTCGTTGATATTCAGTTTTAACCCTATATAAGTTTATGAAACTTGATAGCACAAAGTCATATCTCATGATTAATTTGTCATATAATTTGCAGGTAAACATATGCACGGGTGGTGGATGTATTGGTTTGTTCAAAAAGTCATATCTCATGATTAATGTACGTATGATTGCTTGCATTTTTGTGTATCAATCTTTAACAGCGCTTTATTTACTTTGTTTTTAACTTTTAACAAACAATTTATTTGCTTGTACATGTTGCTCAGGTTCATCCACAACTGTTGCTGATTGTCTTGTAGCTGCTGATGTATTACTACATTTTATGTATTAAGACTGATTGTGTTAAGACTGATTGTGCCTTGTAGCTGCTGATGTGTTAAGACTAATGTATTAAGACCGAGTATGTGTGTGTGTTATTGGTTATTTGATATGGATTGTTGTCTTGTAGTCGCTGATGTATGTGAATTGTATTGTGAAGTTTGTAAGTTTTAATTCTATGGCTTCTTGTAGTAACTTTCATTTATGCAGTTCTTGTAGTAACTTTCATTTATGCTGATGTATGTGAATTGTATTGTGATATGATTTGTAGTTCAATGGAATTCATAGGTATAGGAAGAAGCCCCATCAAATAGAGTGGAGCTTGCAAGAAATGTGTCGATTTTTTTGTAAAGTAGGTGATATTGGTTTGTAATTGCTAGAATATTGCATGTAACATAGCTATTTGGACCGTTAAAATCTGAAGAAGTTTCAGCAGCAGAGGGGCAGGAGTTTGTATATGGATAGTGTTGGAAGTGTTATTTATTCTGCTTTTATTCGTTTTCTTCATTTTAGGGGGATATCTTGTTTTGTTGATATTGGCCTTACTTTTGTGTAGCATATTTGATCATATTTCTTGACCTAATTTTAGGTCTTTTTGTTGATAAGGGCGGTTCTGGATTGATTGGATTATAGATATATGCATGATTTGTTCAGTTTTGACTGAAAGAAAATCCAATCCTAAAGTTTTGGAGCATATTTGTGTTGTATCATGTATATCATGTTTTCTATATTAGTTTGAGACTGAGTCATCGTACACCATTTTGTATAGCTTGTACAGAGCTTGAAAGGCATGTTGAGTCATCGTGTACGCAAGTAATGCATGCGATGTTGTTCAGGAGGCAGCGAGCGTTGAGCAAAATTAGTCAACCTGTTATAATCAAAACCCCATGGATCTTTCACATTTATAGCACCACGACTAGCTGGCTTTCTAGTTACTATCATTTATGCCAAATTATGTCACAAGGAAGGAAGCAAGAAGCTTTCTATCAAACATGACATAAGTTCTCACAATCACTAATATAGAAAGAAGGCATAGCGCATCCATAGCAGGGTTAGAAAGAAGCCAAAGTAATAAAACATCCACAATACATCTCTAATATAGAATTAAACTAAGGTAATAAAACATCCATAGCAGCGCAGATTGCTATTGATCTGATACAAACAATATGACATAAGTTCTCACAATCACATAAGTTCTCACAAGATACATAAGTTACTCGATACATAAGTTCTCACAATCACATATTTTTTGCAAGAGAGAAAAAAATAAATATGACAACGATACATATTACAAACACTAATATTGTAAACACTGAACCTAATGCAAAAGCATAGATGGGGAAAATAGTAGTTCTTGAGCTCGATGCAGAATCAGGTGTCGGGGACATAAAAAGGTATTTGGACATGCCCTGTACTGGATGCTGAATCACAAGCGATGCTGTGCTTATCCCATTCAACCAAAGCCTCTTCGTACGTTGCATACCCTTTATATGCGGCATTTGGGAATTTATCAACTTGCATTTTACAGTCCTCCCAATTATTAAAAATTCCACATCGTCGACCTCTCTTCAAAATGTAAAAACTCTTTCTTGCTATGGACCACCTAAAAAATTTTGGTTTGAAGCAAAATCACAGTAAAAACTCTCTTAATTTCTTTGTGGAATTAAGAGAAATTATAAGTCCGGTTTGAAGCAAAATCACAGTAAAAACTCTCTTAATTTCTTTGTGGAATTAAGAGAAATTATAAGTCCAAATTCGAGAAGTAATTGCTACCACTGAGGGAAGAATAAAATCACATCCATTTGATTTTGCATGACTCTGGAAATAGCTACAATCACAAGACCACTGAGGGAAGAATAAAATCACATCCATTTGATTTTGCATGACTCTGGAAATAGCTACAATCACAAGGTGTAATTGTGTTTTTTGTCATATAATTTGCAAACATGCAGTAGCATATACTTTATAAATTTGCTTTAATTAAACCTGGTAAAATTAAAGCACACTACTGGTAAGCCCAAAACTGAGCATTAAAAGCACGCCTTACCGACGTTAGGCACTCCCTTCCTTTTCATGTTTGGATGTTGATCTGCATGAAGTTATATCTTTGTCATTTGCTAAGGCCCTTTAGGGTATTGGGAGATCTCAGGCAACCTGACTTCATATCAGCTACGCTGATGGAACATTCAAAAGTTCCTTGAATAAGAAGTTTGTAACATGTTTTATTTCTCTATAATTCCAACTTTTGTTCTCTGTAATGCAATTAACCATCTTATGTCCGTCTCACTGTCTAGATCCAGTTCTATATTTTACCAAAATTACCATCGAGATTATATAAACATGCTGTTTTTAAGAGTGTCGTTATTTGCTTAAGAAACATCAAGATTTTAGCATATACATTACTGCAGTACCCCATTACTGTAGTGAGTATATCTATTAACAAAATATTTTTTTATTCTAAAATGGTAAATATCTACAGAACGAGAAAGAGTGACATTGCTTCATGGTTCCGAAAATCAAAGAAATATGAACCGTAAATAAATAAAGGCAATTCCCACCGCCACGATACACATACTTTGAGCACAAATTCTCAATATTTGAATCAAATTCTCAAATTTTAGGACATTACCTAAATCAAAGAGGGCTGCGGTGAGGATGGATGATCGCTGTCAAACTCAATGCCGGCGTCAAGTACAGAAGGTAGATCCCAACACCCTTACCCCACCTTTCCGACTCGATTAAACCCTAGAACAAATATTTCAAAATTTAACAGTAAATGTTAGAATTTACAGAACATTACAGTAAGAAGAAAGGAGGGCGGTCGAGAGAGGAGAATTTGAAATTTTACCTGACAAGAGAGATCGAAAAGGGGAGTCGGGGTTGGCCTCACGAGACGAAACGAGCGGCGGCGGTCGCCGATTTCTCAGTCCGAGCGGCGGCGGTGGGTTGGCCTGAGCGAAATCAAAGGGGGAGAGGCCGAAACGAGCGGATTTGGGGAGAGATCTGGGGTCGATTTCGAAGGGGAGGGGTTTCTGGGGAGAGGCGGAGAGGGAGGATTTGGGGAGAGGCGGTGGGTTGGCCTGAGCGATGGCCTGAGCGAAATCGATGAAGTCAGGCGGAGAGGGAGGATTTGGGGTCGATTTCGAAGGGGGGGGGGGACTGGGGAGAGGCGGAGAGGGAGGATTTGGGGAGAGGCGGTGGGTTGGCCTGAGCGATGGCCTGAGCGAAATCGAAGGGGAAGAGGCGGAGATGGAGGATTTGGGAAGAGGCGGTGGGTTGGCCTGAGCGATGGCCTGAGCGAAATCGAAGGGGGAGAGGCAGAGAGGGAGGATTTGGGGAGAGGCGGTGGGTTGGCCTGAGCGATGGCCTGAGCGAAATCGATGAAGTCAGGCGGAGAGGGAGGATTTGGGGTCGATTTCGAAGGGTGAGCGATAGCCTTCGAAGGGGGAGAGGCAGAGAGGGAGGATTTGGGGAGAGGCGGTGGGTTGGCCTGAGCGATGGCCTGAGCGAAATCGATGAAGTCAGGCGGAGAGGGAGGATTTGGGGTCGATTTCGAAGGGTGAGCGATAGCCT